TTCTTCCACCTTTCTTTGATCAGGTTTGCATGAGAAAAAAGCGGTACCGAAGTCTCTAAGATGCATCATAGCAGGAGTGTATCAATACACTCCTGATCATAGCTACTTAGATCGCAACCCAAGGGGTTCCAACCCCTTGGGTTAGTATCTATGGATGCATTTTGTATTACATTTTGTATGATTAGGCCTAGCCACAAGTTCCCTTCTCGCATTTAGCTTCTGATTGGTGTTCTAAGTTGTTACATAATTTTTGCAGTTGGGTGCTAGGGCCTATGGCTATGGCGAGGATTAAAAATGTGTGCTCATCGATTTTCTGTGTACCTGTCATATTTGGTTCAGCGAGTTTACTCCTCTACTTGATTTCTCTCGAAGCACCAGACTTGACAGGAGAGCAAAGGTACTTAATTTTGGTATAATATTTATGTGCTAATCATTATTGCTATAATAATGTACTACACAACTCTTACTCTTAGTCCGAGCCGACGCAGACCCCAGTAATGGAGACGCAGATAAACCCGCACCCTCAGATTAGCAAAGCGGAGTTATAACGTCTGCATTTGCAGACAACCCAACTCTAGGGAAGACAGCTGTGAGATTGAATACTTTCTTGCACGGTGTCGTGCAATTCATTGCCATTTCTTGAAGCAAACTTTAGGGGGGGGGGAGAATGTATAGATATTGAAGGGAGTATGGATGTGGTAGAGGATTTAAAGAAATGGGAGAAGGGTGAGAAGCTGAATAAGAGGGGTAAGTATGGGGATACAGTAAAGGAAGTCAAGAAGGGGGAAGCTAAAGGTATGGGGGAAGGAGAGAAAGGTAGATGGTTCGGAGAGGTAGAAAGTAGGAGAAAGTTGGAGTATGCAAAGAAGGTAAATGAGATGGAGTAAATAGTAGAGAGGAAACTGTAGGAATGGTAAATGTGGTATTTCAAACAATTTACACTGGTAAAAGTGTACAGGATTTTAATTTGCATTAATCATTGAGACATTTGTGATGAATTGCTAAATATGGTATTTGGCATCCACTGTTTAACTAACTTGCCGCATTAGAAACTAAACAATAATTGTTTTTCTTGACATGCGTGCCAAATGTGTATCGCTAATATTCTGCTAATTGCTATACCGTTGTATTTTAAACCAGAGCTTGTCTGAGGTTCCCAAGCAGCATGGCTGCTCTTGTGAAAGTAGCCGAGATGCTCCAACAGTACAAGACGTTGCACTTCAACTATGTGCTGCTCCTCTTTTGCAGTGCCTATCTGTACAAACAGAGCTTTGCAATTCCTGGATCAGTGTTTCTGGTAATCCGTTACCTTTTTGTAGCATTTAAAATCATAGACCCACGTAACCTGCTCTACATTACTAATTGATTCACTTCATAAGTAGGCAGCTAACACTGTAGTAGTAATAGAAGCTACTAGTGCCATGTACCAACATACACTTACAATTTTATTAATTTTTTTAATTTCAGAACATTCTGGCAGGTGCATTGTTTACCCTGTGGGTCGCTTTCCCATTAGTTTGCCTACTGACAGCATGTGGCGCTACCTGTTGTTTCCTGATGTCACATTTGTTTGGAAGGAAACTTGTACAGCAGCATCTACCTGAAAAGATGCACTTGCTGCAGAACAAAGTACGGTATCTGCCCTGTGTGCATGTGCAAATCCCTTTATACGAAAATTGTAAAATCTTCAATGCAAATGCAGTGTGGCACATACAGGCGATTGTTGTCACAGTCAACCCTGTATCTAAGAGCCACTCAAGGTAAAACCAAAAAGTGCCCATTGCACACAGGTGTCTGTTCTATTGAGATGGTTTCAAGGTATAATTGCCACTCATTCTGCCGTTCTATTTAAACATGTGTCTATTATATAGAGGTTAACCAGTTAACCATCAACTCAGGTTTTACCAAACTTGTTTCTCTTACTTGAAATCATACAAATTAATTTTTGGGTCTGCACAATTATGATGCACATTACTGCATGTGTTATACAGTGATACTCTTACTGATGTTTAAATTTAGATCGATGAGAACAGAGATCGCCTGTTCTTCTTTCTGCTTTTCCTGCGTCTGTTTCCCATGACGCCGAACTGGTTTCTCAACATTGCTTCACCACTAGTCAACGTTCCGCTGCATCAGTTCTTCCTCACTGTATTAATAGGTAAGAAGTGAAATTATTGTTATTGCGCATCAGCATTAATAGTTTTCCTTTCCAGTTACGCATCTAATGTAATTTTTTCCATTCCAGGACTGATGCCATACAATTACATATGTGTGCAGACCGGTGGCATCCTGTCAAGCATCAGTTCACTCGATGATGTCTTCACAGTGGCGACCTTATGCAAGCTGCTCTGCGTCGCTATAGTTGCACTGCTTCCTGGCATGTTGATGAAGAGGCGAGTTGTAACAGAGAGAAGCAATTGATCCTGTGCTGCAGCCTCATTTTTTACATAATATCTGTGAGTACTATAGTGTGTAGGGGGGATCAATGAGATGAGATTAGATGCTGCATTGCATTAATGAACTAGACAGAGTGCACTCACGGAGAGTGCATACCTCCGCCAGCATGTAACATGTATGTGTTACGAGCTGGCTCGCTGCGCTGGCTGGCTGGCTGGCTGACGCGCTAATATCGATCGCGCGAACACACGAACGCACAAGAGCGATCACATAACCTCCTCCAACTCCGTTGGGCGGAGGTAACAAGATGGATGCAATTGCCAATTACTATAACATTTTTTTCATTAATTAATGTTATAATAACAAAATTTGAACAACTTGCAATGTATAATTTGTGATAATGTGTGCACCAATTGTATTAGAGAGGTTACTTTGAATCCCTCTTTTTTTGTTAAATATTCCATGTACAGAATACCTTTTAATACAGCGGTCTTTCAAACTGTTTATATATTTAATGTTGTTATTATACACTTGCATATTGTTTAAGTTTTTATTTGTGTTCATCATAGGAAAAATATACCTTGTTAAATTGTAACACTAGTATACATTGCTTACACTAATAGTAACATTATTTGTGGTTATTATTTTACTGTACCATTATTTATGAGAAAAATGTTTTGAATCTGCGAATGGAGAATGCACAACATATATATATATATATTGCTGAAAGGAAACAAGGTGAAAATCTGCACGAAATGTTACAAATGCCATTAGCTTTATGGGAATATCAGAGTAATATTTCTCATTGATATGCGTTTCATTACTGATCACAGTTACGACTACTTATTAGTCGACATAATGTTTGTTGGTACAGGATTTCTTTGCTGAACGCTGCTCAGCCCAGAACTGTTTATCCATGTTAAAAACAGAATAAAGAAATTTATTGACAAACAAAAATGTGTTTGCTTTGCTTTAATAATTTTATAGATGAATCTATATAGACCCGCACATTGGGATTTGTGTTACGAAATGCGTTACTTCTCACCCTGTGCTGAAGAAAAAATTTATAAAATAGGAGTCGGTGTATATACGTCTGAATATGTGTATGTGCCTGCGTGCGTCACCAACAGCTGCACTACGGTGTTCATATTTGATACGATTTGGGGCAATTCAATACTTAAAAAACACATGTAAAAAAAGATCAATGCTTTTCCCCTTCTCAACAAAAAGAGGAGTATTTGTGATTCATGGCATAGATTTGATTGATTGTGCGACTTAGTTAGTATAAAAAGACTAAATTAGATGTGAATAATATGCATAGATGTGTTTATAGTGCAAATGTTATTGTGGGTAAAAAATATATATTAATGTAGCCTGATAGGCTTTTGGTTTCATGCTGGTAAGTAAGCATCTGCCATTTCCATATTATTCAGTATCAGAATGCAAAAGTAATATTAGTTAATGAAATAGTATTTTGCAAATTTTACTACACAAACCTACACATACACAACAAATACACAATTACACTAACAATGATGCCATCCTAAGTAGATGCTATCAAATACTACTGACGTATAATATATGAGTTTGTTGTGACAACCACTGCTTCTGTTATTCACGTGGTGCATCACTAGGACGACTGCACGTCATGTCCCATGTTCAACAACGAATAGGCAGTGATGAAATCGTCAAGCTGTTTCCCATCGAGCGCCTTCTTGGCCCGCCAGTACATCTTGCTGGAGTTGGATGGATTGCCGTGAGCGTGAGTCCCTTCTAGCTTCACATACTCTAGCCAAACATCTGCGCAGAACCACATGCCACAGTCACTCCATCGCAGCCACTTACAGCCGAATAGTAACGGTTACGTAAATATGAATAACGCTTGCGAATTAAATTGCTATATTGAGATTGGAAAAATCTAAAATGTAAATTGTTGATGAGACGACTGTTATCGTTTACTGCTGCAAATATGACATGATAAATTGCAGTTAATGCAACAGGACTATAAAGTAACTGTAGCTGAATGCATACCAATATCTCGATCACCAAACTCGCGAACAGCATCTTCGTGGACTTTACGCAGTCTCTTTATAGATGAGTGAGGCACAGCATTCTCTATAGCTGCATACTTTGTGAAGAAACCAACCGACAGTGGTCGCAGTTTCGACTGCCTGCAACAAAACCAAAGTGTCCTTTTGTATAAGTTCCAACCTGTTGAAATGACTGAGCTTAGCAACATAAAGGGCCATGGTCAGCAGCTACATAATGGAGGAAATCCCACATGTGTGGGTGCATATGTAAGTGAATGCATGTACACATGATGCATGAGCGGATGAATCTGCAGTCTTGGTTGCCAATATATAACTTCTAATTTCTAAATATTACTGGGTTCCCAGCTAACAATGAGCTGCAGCAATTATTTTTCACTGTTGTTGCTACTCTTGTTATTGTAGTGAGTTTTCCTTTCTGAGCATCAAAAAGTGAACACTTACGTGCTATAGACTTCCCTGGCTTTGCTCACACCACCTGTCATGGCGGCCCACTCTAGGTAATACTCTTTCAATGGCACGCACACCTCTCTGCACTTCCCCACACCAGCCTTTAGTAGATCCTCGGTCTCGTTTGGTTGAACTGCAAGGCACCACTCCACACCCAACATCCAAAGTGGAAATGACTCCTGAAGTGCAACAATCAAGAACACACATATATAACATTGAACTATGTATGTAGCACATATTATCCATGATAAATATTATATATAGCATTATGTGTATATAAAAATATATACAGAATATGTATGATACAACGAACCAGGCAACTAAATAATGACGTTATGACATACCCTTTCCGCAACTGCAGAGAGCGCGCTATCCAGAAGTGTTCGTACATCAGTCGGGTCATCTAGGCAGTGTATGTGTAGGGCCAACCTGTGCTTCCAGAGAGCGATGGACAATGGATACATTTTGACCGCATGCCTAGCCACCTTGCGGGCAACACCTATTTGTCCAGTCTGCTCCAGTAGATTCAGCTGAAACAGGTTCAAGGTGAGATCAGTATGAAGATGGAGCTACCAGTGGCTGTATGAAAGACTTTAGAAAATGGGTACCAACCAGAGAAAATGGAGGAGAATTGGGAATATCATAGGAAACTATAACCTATTTTGAATAGAACATATATAATGGCAGATTTGCAATGGTTTTGGCAATGGAGGAGGAAATGGCCTGAAAAAGGTTGGGAATTTCTTGTTGAGAAAATTTCTCTATACTGAGAGCAAGTAAACCTTTCATTTATCTTTCTATATTAAACTGAACTGAACTATTAAACAGAATTAACTTCTGAACCAAAGTTACGGGAAAATCACTAATTAGTAAATAAAGCAACATGTATTGAAAATTTATTGAAATACATCAGAATTTCCATCTATAGTATTTCAAAATAAATTCACCTCAAGGGTTAGGATTATGGATTTTACATGAAGTGTGAACAACAACATAACCCAATTCCACCAAAAAAAAAAAAAATTTAAAAAAAAGGCAATGCTTCTTACCCATTGAGCATACAGGGTGTCGGACAGCAGGTTTGAATCGGCTGCTCGTTGAAGAACCTCCAGAAGTCGTTGCATACGCTGTTCAATTTGATAGCTTGTGCTGCCCTCTATGCGTAGCCACTTGTACAAGGTGTTCGCGTATAATGTCCACATTTTCTGCGTAGGAAGATGCTCAATGGCCTCTTCAAACGTCTGCCAGCACTCGACCTCTATCGTCTCTGGCACAGCACCATCTAGCAGTAGCCACAACAGATACTACTAGACAGATTACACTCATGGAGAGTGCATACCTCCGCCAGTGACATACGCCATACGCCATACGACTCACGAACACAGGAATAAGCCACGATATACGCCAGTGTACTGACATGTACACGCTGGCTTGCTGCTCGCTCACATGTACATGCTCGCTGGCTCGCTGACGCGCTAATATCGATCGCGCGAACACACAAACACATGCACACGAGAGCGAAAACATAACCTCCTTCAATGCATTCCATGTGACATAGTTGCTAGATGGCATTCTCTCTCTTCGCTCTCCTCTCCCTCTCTCTCTCTCTGTCTTTCTCTCTCTCTCTCTCTCTCTCTCTCTCTCTCTATCCCTCTCCCTGTCTCTCTTTCCCTTGCATCACTTATATGCCTAACTCCTGCAAAACTATTACCGAAGGACAAGTGACAGTAACAAACAACAGCTTTGCATACGTACCATTCTGTGATTGATCAGGATTCGGCATGTGGCGTTGCGCCAGAGTGTCCCAACTCTCCTCCCTATCTGTAAACTTCTCCTGCAGACTGCAATAATACAAGCACTGGTGAAATACAGGTGGACTGACTGCAATAAAGAATGGTTGCGAATTGAGATATGTCACATATTATATAGAAGTTCAAACTACCAACTTATTAACTCTACTACTCTGTTAATCAAAGTTATTACTCTGCAAACTGTACATTTCAAAGAAGAGGTGCTTTTAAATGTTATATTTATGCCACCTACATAAAAATAAAGTTAAAACAATATGTAAGGTTAATTCTAATTTCTGTGTATCCATTCTACTCCGATGAAAACTCACAATTTATGACCACGATCCTATCTATAACAGATTGATATCATGAATATATATATATACTTGTTTTTAATGCTACTATGAAACAAAAACGAGTATATATGCACTCACTCTTTAACAATAGCTTCCTCGTGGCCGTGTATATAGTTGAACAGCTTACAGATTGGTAAGAATGATACACAAAAATTTACATCCGCTAAAAAATAGAAAAAATAACAAATTGCCTGTAAATACAAACCACAACTACACTAAACCTAGAAGCCAAATATCAAAACTTAAAAATACTAATTTTTTACTAATTTTTACAAATTAATTCAATCTGATTTATTTACATGAGACGACACACGATTCTTTGTAAATTTTTCAAAAAAGCGCAACTGTTTGAGGAATGGAATCAGCTCTTACGTATTGCTTCAATGGCTTGCCTGTAGACAACCAGTGCGACATGGCCTCTCATTATGACATCATCTACTGCGTCAGAACTATTGGCGTCTTTCAGCTCCTCAATTCCCAAGACCTCTCGCCGTTTTCTAACCTGCTCCGCAGCAAGCAGCTCCATTCTGTAGTACTGTGCATAATAGCAAAACATTTCTCTTAAAAATCATCTGATATAAAGTTTATCTAAACAAGTACCGCAGAGCGACAGCGCTCAACTGATGTGTACTGTAGCCAGGTATTCCTTTCCCTTCTGATAAACTCACTGGCAACTGAATCAAGTGCGCCCTCCTGCTACCGCGTTCGCGCTCAGAGCATATATCTAGGATACTACTAATACAGATCTAAAATCTATGATAGGCTTTGCTATACCTACTGGTAGTACAGTAATAAAGATACAGCTGTGTAACTTTAATGACTTCGCTATATTAACATGTTATCATGGATATGCGTCGAGCGCAAGCGTAGTGCAGAGATGCCAACACGTATTTGAAGCAATCTGTAGTTTCTGGTCATCAAATTAGTAGATCGAGGGTCACGTAGTGACCCGAGTTTTCCTGGGGGTGTCCGGCATGCCCCCCGGAAAAATTTTTGATTTTGAGATGCAATTTCCTGCATTCTGAGGGTCAAAAATGACAATAAATTGACAAAAAATGTCAATAATTAAATTTTTTTTTTTTTTTTATCACAGTGAAATTCGTAGTTTGATACAAACTGGTCGTCGTGGTGCAAAAGGAATAGAAATTCGTATAAAACAAGGATAAATCGTAGTGGTTGCATCTCTGGTAGTGGTGGTGGTGGGGAAGGGTGGGGCGGGGGTGGAGGGTGAGGGAGAGTGTGGGGGGAGAAGGCTCTAATAGCAAAAGCAGTTCAGTCCTTTGTTAACAGTCAACAAATCCATGTTTAACCCTCCTCTTGAGGGTCAAAAGGTTATCAGACACTTACTCTTCGCACGTCAGCGGAAAGTAGATTTCATGGTCCTTTCAATAAAGTGATAAAAACGGTAGGTCAGCGCTGAAACAAAAAAGTTTCGCACTCGGTCCATTAGACCATGTCCTCAGAAAATGGCTGACCTTTCCCCACTGCCCTTTGACCTGTGACCTCCAATTTTGCGCTGGTGATGGGTTTCCTCCCCATCACACTATACATAAAATATTAAGAGCGTAGGTCAAGCCGTTGAGATTTGTGCCGCAATTCCGTATTTCCTCCTATACCTTAAGTTAACCTTTGACCCCCAAATTCGACATCCCGAGTCCTTTTCGCAATCCCCCCACGACGTCGCGAATATCAAGACCGTGCGTCGATCGGTTAAGATTTGTGCCCAACTGTTGACGGATGGACAGACGGACGCACGGACGAACAATCATGCGATTCTACAAGCTGCATCTGATTCGTCAGCTGAGCTCAAAATTAATGGCATGATTGTTGCAACGAGTTCTCAACACTAGCTGCGATTAAAAATAAATGTAGAGTAGACCGCATTTTGGTTCTAATCTAAGAGCACACAATAACAAAAGCATATAAAAACTAGATCAAACAATGATAGAAATTGCACGCCGTCTTAATTTTAGTTTACTAAAGTATCGTTACAAATCTAGTTTAATATACTAGCTAAGAAATGGTTTTCAATTTTAATCATTGTTCGCGCTACGCTCTTGATGATAACTACCTCCAGCCAGAGTTTTCTGGTAGTTGGATGAAATCGCAATCCTCGCTGAAGCAGCTCCCGCGCTTTTTCTGTGGAATTCTCTTCTTCAAACTCCCATTTGGCAGCCAAGATCCACAACTCTGTGCAGAAAATAGCCAAACAATATAAACATATATATATATATAATAAAAATAATAATAATGCCTCCACCCAGGTGTGTGCAGCTATGTTGACTAACAGGTATGGCTTATCGATTAGAAATAGGTAAATGTTCTCACAGAACTCACATATATACTGACCCAGTGATTTACTTATTTATTTCTTTATTGAAACTCATGATGATTACTGGTAATTTCATATATGACTATTTAAAAGATGCAGAATTTGCAATCAATACTCACCTTGAATCTTTTACATGGCCAGAACCAAGCTTCCACAAAAAATACTCTTGCAACTAATAAACCTACGGAGACTAAATTATTATATACAAAAACTCAATGATTAGCTGGTTCACTTACGTGGGTTTCCACTGTGGCGCTGTAGCATGTGTGTGAACATATTTCCTACGGATGTTCGTTGGTTCTGCAATTAAACAAAACAAAGATACAGTAAAATTGCTGAGCAACTTTAGATAAAGAGAGTGGCATCAATGACAAATGGCTTTTTCTATTATTTCAAAGTCATGCGAACAGGGCACGAGAAATATTCCAGACATCACTCTTCATCATTAACTTCATACTGATAACTGTACTGTACCCTCGTGTCATAAATCATGTGTATCATATTACAGCAGTGCATGTTTTCAAGTAAAAGACATGTCCTAAGATACGTAAGAATCTAATTTAACGAGTTTTGATGCACTGAAATCTACGTAATGTAATTGCACGCATGACAATGAAAACTGTGAGGCACGAACTTACCACTTTTTTACAAAACTCGATGTGCGACAGCCAGACCTTTACATCCTCAGAAAAACGCTGCTCACAATACTATAAAAACAAGGCAGACATATTTTCCTCATCCACAGCACAGATATTTCATTTCTTAAACATTAATAGTCATGCATACATTAATTTCTCAGCAATACGAATCTTTAGTTCCTGACCTTGTCTAATCTGCTATAACTCGTTGTCAGATATAAAACCCGGAAAAACTTAATTATTTAATTTATGATTTATTCTGGTTTTACTGCAAATTGCTATGCAACAGATGCATTAGTCATGCGGGAAAGCAGTCATAAGTTTAAAGACACCCTCATTGCATGGATGCACTTAAATTTTGCTTACCCTGAATAACCGGTGAATTCGATGGATAAGAGGATAATCAATTTCTTCTTTCTTGAAATGATAGCCCAGTCTCTATAAAATAGCCCAAAATAGACATCTTCAAATAACACAAAATGACAAGCAAGAAAATTCACAATTGAATACTATTAAATGCATTCCTATTAGTATTAGCAGGAAATTTATTCAACCACAGAGTTACCGAAATTAAAAATCACTGTTACATTATTGTTCACTATTGTTAGCAATTTATATGAACAGGCTGTAGCCATAGCTGGTGGTGGTGGGGGGTCAAATGGGATATAGTTGTACCCAGACCAATGTTGATCCCATTACATCGTCAATGACAAACTGTCCATGGTTAACTGCCAACAGCACAAACTACACATGGCTTTGCACCCATCCCCCAGGCAAAATGAGTTAGCTACATTTCTGTATGCTAAAAAAACCTACAGCTCGTCTTTTCTTGATGAGTGACAGCAGGGTGATCTCATACTGAGCATAGTTGAGAAAATCTTCTTTGCATTTTGTTTTTCTCCTCAGCTTATACTCATAGTCACTTGTCTTCTTAATGATTTTTCTGTTGGTATAATAGAAAAAAGTGTTAATTAAAGGAACTATAGACAGTAGCTTGGTATTACAATGAGCAGAGCCAAATAAATTATATAGCTGCCATTTTAAACACAATTGTGTGCATGCATGGGCCCAAGGATATAAGAGAGCTCTGTCCACATTTGCACATGTCACAGATTTGCAAAAATTAATTGTGGTCAGCGCCTATAATTTATATACATGAACCCATGCGTGCGTGCATGCATGTGAGCATACCAGGGTTCTCCAAGAGCACTTATAGCCTGGCGGCCCGACAGGCTATTGTCGAGCCCCGCCATCCTAAAATGCACCCGCCACTCTAAATATCATAGCCGCCATGCTAAATATCACCCCCTGACCCCCCTAGCACACAAACCGCCTTCGGCGATTTGCAACTAGGACCGTAAAGGCAGCAACCGCCATGCTATAATGAAAAAGCTTGGAGAAATGTAATAGGCTGCATTATAGCTGCCCATGTGTTTTGTCTACATTTCGGGTGACGTCACGCATGTACACAACAGCAATTCAAAACGAAACGCAAGTAGTGCTAGCACTTTAAGGAATAAATGCATAAATACATGGTGTAAAGTTGTGGAAAGTGTTAAAAAGCCCGATCATTTTGCATTTTGAGAGTGATTTTTCGTGGGAACTTTGGGGAGCTGGTGCAGCTGCGAAATCTAGTTCAAGATGTTCTATAGCCCTGCGGCAGTCACTGTACGTGTGCTATAGTACTAGAGCTACGTCAGTACTAGCCACAAGTTCCCTTCTCGCTTAACACTACGTTGGCAAGAGGGTCACAAGCCGACGCAATAGAATATTGTTCGGCATGACGTGCGCTGCTATTAAACGTAAAATTATCCAACTTTTTATGATTCTTATTGCTTCTCTGTACTTCCACGCCTCGATTTATTATATGTGCGCTATCACTGACTATGACTATCTATGACTATGACTATCTATGACTGACTATGTATTTACGTGTCAGCGAGTAATTATTAGAATTGATAAGATGAAACGACGAACAAACACCGCCATTTTTCAATAGATATCCCATAATACGTAGCGAAAGTTCGTGAATTTTCGCGAACAAAAAGAGACATAAGAACATCCAGAATGGCGTTTATCAAACGTTCAATAGTATAGCTGTTCAAAATTCTCTTATTTTTTAACGTGTAATTCGAGGTAAATAGTAATTAAGAAGTGATGCGATAGTTCCAAACATGTATTATTATGTAACAGGTGAGGTCAAATGTGGTAATACATTGATTTATTTACGAAATTTTACGAAATTCGGAGTTTGTTTTCAAGCAACCAGGCATTTCGTATGGAAGAGTGTTAGGCTCCTACGACGTGTAACAGTCGGAGAGCCTGGTCGGTTTAAGTCAGTAACTAGGCCTACCAATACCATTATCACACCAACGTGACCAAGTTATTACATTATACGCTGTGGCTATATGCCCGGCAGCCGGGCACGGTCTTCGTTTTCCTAAATGCCCGGCAGTTCTTAACCCTAACTCTAACCCTAACCCTAAACCTAACAAAAACCCTAACTCTAGCCCTAAACCTAACCCTAACCCTAATCCTAACTCTAACCCTTGTTTACTTGAGATAACGCTAAAAATTAAAAACTGCCGGGCATTTAGGAAATCGAAGACCGTGCCCGGCAGCCGTCAGATATACGCCGGCTGCCGGGCATATAGCCACTGTGTACATTATAACATTGTGGTACACCGTACAGATTGTATAACCTACTTTATTTCTTTCTGAGAAAAAAGTTTAACTCTTTTCATTTGTTCCAACTCTGGAAGAATCTCCTCCAAACTCTTCTGTACAAATTCTGCCATGACTTTAACTTAGCGGAACGATTAAGAAGTTTCTGAAACACAATCACGAAACAGCCTTCTCGCACACTGTGAACGTGGTGCATATGTTGCGCCACCTATGGGATGAAATAAAATCAATATGTTTTCCGCAACTTCCGTAGTTATTTAGTTCTCTCATTATTATCTCTTAATTATCTCTCTTATTTAGTTTAGTTTTCTCATTGCTTGCTTAGTTATTGACTAAATTTATCCAGCTGACGTCTTCAGGCTTATATTTGTGCATTGTCTATCAGTGCATACAGGCGCGGATCCAGGATTTTTGAAAGGGGGTGTCCAGGAAGCAATAAAGGGCATTTTTCCTGCTTAATTTTTCTGGTGTTTTAAAAAGCTGCCGAATGCCACTTAGGGGGGTTTGGGGGACCTCCCCTAAGAAAACTTTTAAAAATTGGTGCATTCTGAGCGCATCCGAGCAGTAATTTTGATGTCTAGAATGCAAAAATTGATCGGATCCGGATCATCCGGTACCCCGGACGCCTCGCGGACACCTCTTTGCCCATTTCTAGTTTTTTTATTACGAATTTATATATATATAAGTAAATCTTTATCAGGAAAACTAGTCCTAAAAAAAATTTGAATGACATTTTTTAGGGCACTTTGAAATTAAGGGGGTTTCGGACTCCACCGGACCCCCCTCCCCCCTAGATCCGCCCCTGGCATATCTCACGCTTTCGCAAAACGTAGTTAATATAATGCGCAAATTTTTTTCCGAATCGTATCCAGAATTTATCATGGTCAGGTGAAGATTGCCATTCCCTCTTGCTTTATGAAGCCTGTATGTTGCACTCGATCATCTGAGCGTGATCATTGCTTTTGACACGTGCCATCTTCTAATGATCCATTTAAGTTCAGCTTCTTTGTTTCTGTCATTCCGTATTGGAAGTACGTACCTCTCTTCCTCCTAAGTAAATTAAAAATTTGAGGTTTTTTCTCAGACGATCGGCAGTGTTGATCTGTTTATTTGATCAGCTTTGTCTCTTTCCGTCTTCAATATAGTCCCTTGGAATTTGAAGTCTAATATTTACAAGATAAACCTCGTACTATGCTGTTGCATAGGAGAGGATGAGAAATATGCACAGCGTTTGCCAAGCGAAAAAATATATGGCTAAATTATACTGAATTTACAGTAAAGAGAGTATACTCATGAGATTATTGAAATAGAAAATTTCAATCTAATTTCCTCTTCTTGTTAATTACAAGGCGCCAAGTCTTCCGACTTTCCCTAACTGTGTTATAGCCTATCGCACAATATATACATAATATATATATATATATATATTCTATACAAATCAGTTTCGTAGCGAGCATTTCGAAGGGGTTTGTTCTTTTTCATCAAAAAAATGGATTTTTAGAGCTAGCTAACTTAGTCTGTATACTACATGAATGCTATCATGCCACAAAAACAATCTAAATTCTTGCAAACATTCCTCGATATGTGTACACTTTCACAGCAAATCATAAAATAATAGCCTTGTTGCCTTCTTACAAGGGCAATACAACTTTCCCTATGCTGCACAGCAGCACAAGACACGGCAACGCTTTATCAAACGTAATGGTCTTCGCGGATTCATGACTGCTCGCCAAGTTCACGCAACGTGCACGCAACGTAAATATGACATAAACCCAATACGTACACATAACACGGATGTGGGTTGGCCAAACACGCACGCATATCCCAATGTTTAATTACATAAGAAAACGCTTACGCACATGCGCGCGCCAATAATGTCTATCATGAAGAAAATTCAATAGTACGCCTAAACTGTTTTCGTTTTGAGTTATTCTAGCTGACAACCCTCCGCACTGTGTATATTTTTCCGAGCGAATATTATGTCAATCAAAACTTTCGCAGGCGATGTTGGCAGACGCGCGACGACGAAATACGGCGAAGTGCGCTGCAGCAAAAACTTTCATACAATAATTCATAGTTCAAACGTGATGTTTTGGTTTAAAATTACGTGATTCAATAAACAAATATGAGTATTAATAACATAAATTAACAACGTAGTCATGCATAAGAAACATAATTAAACATTGAATAAATGAGCTACATAAAAAATGAGCTACATAAAAAATGAGCTACATATGCTAGGGGACCTAACATAAAGTCGCTCGTTCACCGTTATTGAATTTAAATTTGCGAGTATTGGCATAATAAATTAGCATTGTTCAATACAAATTCGTTTTAAATTGAAAGCTAATACTACGTGATAATTAGCTTCGTCAACACTCACACAAGAACTATGCTCCTCGCGCTATTTGCACGATAAATAACATCATTACGTAATAACTGGAGAAATCCTCGTCTCGTTTCTCGCTGCGTCCGAGGAATGTTAATCCGATGTGTTGTTATATTTACTCTGGCGTTACGCTCAGACGCTTAGGTACCCAAACACAGTGCGCTGAGGCGTGGCGCGCGCACGGTGGAACGGGGGTACCGAAATGGAAGCGGGGACGCGCGCACGCGCATGCGCACACGGCGCGAACATGTGCGACACGTGATAGACGTATCACGATTGATCCCAGCTAGATATATACTCTACCGTAGGAGAAATACACCAGATATATGAACGACACGAGCAAGAGAAGAACACACTGGGATAGAATTGGGACGTGTTCGAATTTCGATTTGTTATCGGTTATAGATCAAGAAGGGAATCAAGTTTTATGTATGTCAATCGATGATTAGCTATCGAGAAAAAAACACAGCGGTCATGTAAACACGCGCAGAAGATATATACAAACGTGACGTCCTATCGCAGAAATTGAGTTGTTTGCATGTGCCGTCGCAATCCGCTGATGAACTGGGTAGGTTCTTTGTCGCAAATTCAATCAAACAGGCAATGCACCAGTCTGTGTGCATAGATGGTTAAACTTAATTCATTAATGCACTACGAAAGTGTGTTTCCTTTAGATATCAATTAGTTTCAACGTCGATTTTATGTGCTATGAAGACGTGGACTATTTTTAATGCGGAATTAATATGTGTGTGTATTACATGTTGTGATAGGTTGAATAGGAGCGGAGTCGGTGTGTTTCATGTGTGGTTTCAGTAATAATCGTGTATGATCAGCGTAAATTAGACGTTTAAAACCTATTGGTTCGTCGCGTGGTTTTGTCCTGAGGTTATGTGTTTATTCTCACACGATGTAATATCAATTTTACTAGATCACACGGGAAAGGAAGATCGCTATACGCCAACGTATAATCTCACGGTATGGGGCCTCTTCTGATGTGTTTCATTTTCTGCCTCGGATGCACAGTGCTTGGCATAAAATCAGGTATGATAGAGAAAAGCGATATGTTGATTTTAGATATATTATGTCTTGTTAGTTGAATCAATCTATCTATCTATTTATCTATATATGTATGTATGTATGTATGTATGTATGTATGTATGTATGTATGTATGTATGTATGTATGTATGTATGTATGTATGTATGTATGTATGTTGTGTGTGTGTTGTTGGTTGTGTGTGTGTGTTTGTGTGTGTGTGTGTGTGTGTGTGTGTGTGTGTGTGTATGTGTGTGGTGTGTGTGTGTGTGTGGTGTGTGTGTGTGTGGTGTGTGCTGTGTGTGTGTGTGTGTTGTTGTGTGTTGTGTGTATGTATGTATGTATGTTATGTATGTATGTATGTATGTATTTGTTGTATGTATGTATGTATGCTATGTATGTATGTAATTAATGTATGGTATGTTGTATGTATGTACTGTATGCTTTAATGTAGTATTATGTATGTATGTATGTATGTATGTATTATGTATGTATTTAATGTATGTAGTATCAGAAATCTATCTATCTATCTAGTCTGTTTATCTATCTATCCTACCTATATATCTATCTATCTATCTATCCAACTCTCTTCGATCGGCTATCCAATCCATCCGAATCAATTCATCATCCATCCATCCGTCCATCCATCCATCCGATTCTCCACCATTCACCATGCCATCCATCCAT